GCCATGGAGCACTGAATTTCTTACATGGCCCACTTACCCCTCTGCACAAAGTTAGAAAATCATTCAGTCTCTTCCTCATATCCACATGCTAATTTTTGGTTCATTTTTTTTTATCTCCGGGACAAAGTTGCATTATTGGTGAAATTGTAACCCGTGTGCTTTTAATGCAGAGTAAAGTTAAACAAAAGAGCAACTAAATATTACTCAGGGTGCATGTAATACAAAAATGTCTTAGCCCCCTAAATTGCATTAGGGAACAAAGCTCTTGCTATTTTTTTTTTTCTTCTTTGGCTTTTAGATTTATCTGTTAGTTCCACATGAAGGTTATTATTGAATCATTCTTCAGTGTCAAACAAGTATTGTGGCCAGAGGAGTGGGAGGATTATTGTGAGATGGGGACAGGAAAGATGCTGTGTTATTTGTCTTCATGTTTGTGGGCACAGTCATGTTCCTCCAAAAAGAAATGAGTAAAGAGGAGCTCCCTATTGGATCAGTAGTAGTTCTAAGATTAATGGAGTGAGAGTTGAGGTTTTTGTCAGGTATTTTAATGTTCTTACTCCTGAAGTATTGGAGTTAATGGAATTTTAAATTAACACGAGAGAATATCAATTTGTATGAAATATATCACTGGAAATATGCATAAATATAGGCATTATCTTATTTCCTTCTGTTAGAAAATGTGGTAATAGCTAGTTTTAATCTTTAAAAGCAATCTTGAGCTTTTCTTGACTGGTTTAAATCTCCAATTATCTACTTATGAGTACATGTAGCATCTCCTGAATAGTCTCTCTTCCCTGATTATGAATTTACTATTAACTTTCTTCTGATTATTAGGTTATGATCTGTAGTTTGGGCAGTGTCAGAAGGAAGCAAACTGCAGACTATAATAGCAGTGTGTGGTCTTCTATTCTGAACTCCCTGTGGATAGCTCCCATTATTCCTCAGCGAGAAAGCACTTAGGTTAATTGCTCCATTTCAAAGACATAGTAGCTCTTTCTGGTCTGTAAGTAGCCTTCCAAGCATAGCTGCTGAGGTTTGGAGCACCTGCAGCCTGACCAATTTGGGGAATAAAAAAAAATAAAAGCCATTAGTCTGCATGGGGAAAAAAAAAAAGAAAAAAAATGAAGTGGTGAAGTTCAGAATATTATCAATGATGCTGTGTTGGAGCAGCCTGGAAGATTTGGCTTTTGGTCTATGCCTGGTGCTATCCAAAACAACATATAAAATTCTTTGTGGGCCCATTTTAAGAGTGTCTTGTTCATTCAGAAGGGCCTGTGTGCGCTGTTTGTTCCGAGGGCAGAGGCACCAGCCAACAGCTGATTCCTCCTCAGAGGGAAACATTGCCTAATGGCGATCGCAGGAGCCAAAGACCACGGGGACAAAGTGCTAAAGATAAACAGCTCAATCCCCGACTGTTCAAAGGCCTCAATAAAGCCTCTGATTTACACATTTGGGCTGGGACCCTGCTGTCCCCACCTGCAGGCTGGCCCTGGGGCCCTGGCATGGAGAGGGGCTGGTGCTGTGCCCCCCGGGGATGGAACACTGCCTTTCTGTGGCCCCAAACCCAAAACTTCTCTGCAGCTTTGCTTTGTCATGACCGGGGAAGGGGGAGAGAACTGACCGCTCTCATTTTGTGGAGGTGGTGAATGGGAAGAGCCCCCAGGGGCTGGATGCTGAATGGCACTTGAGGGTGCTCCTCTGGTCTGATGGACTCTGAGGGGCTTTTTAGCCTGCCGTAAAGAGAGGCTGGTTCCAGAAATTTGGGTAGCAGTAAAAATGTGGTCTATTTTTACAGAATGATTGTATTTTACTTCGTTTTAACAAGCTTCACCAACAGCTGGACTGTTAAATTGTGACGCTCCAAAAATTCAGGAGGCTGGTCTAACTTTTCTGAGCAGGAACACAGTTCCTACCTTTCTACTCCAAATATGTGAAAGACAAAATGAGATTTCACCTCTCTTTTATATGTTTGTCTTTCTTTCATGATGAAATTTTTACCTGGCAGAAGTATTTGATCTGTGAAAGGTCACATAAGCTTTACACATTGGAAGCTGGTGGGGTGATGAATTTAGTGAGTAGGTGGGTGCATTGGGGCAGGTTAGTTTGAGGAGATTGTTTTATTTCATCTCTTGAAATACAGAGCAATGCATCCTTTTTTGGAAATACAGTGCTGTACATCTGTTATTAAGATTTGCCTTCAGAATGAAGGAAGTGCATGCAGTCACCTTATAGTCAATGAATAAGGAATATGCCCTCATTTATTGCCTGTATTTTTAATTTCTTTAGTGGTAACTGGTAGTTGTTAAATAAGTAGGGAACTCCTTTGGTCCTTTTTGCTGTATTCATGCTTAAACTGTGTGTGGTTTATCCATTTACTGAACACTGCAGTCAAGTCTGTGTTCTCAGGACATAAAAGAGATAAGGGGAAAAGGGATTTGGATTTTTACTTTGTTGTAATTGTTTTGCTTTCAGAAAAGCAGTAAGGTACAGCATTACTGTTTGCACTGATGTTTTTTTGTGCTGTGTAGGTCAGACTAATTTTCATGAAGGCAGTTTTCCCCCCCTCTTGAAGAGAAGTACATAATAGGCATTGTGCACAGCCAGGAGTCCTTGAGCTTCTGCTGATGGGTTGGAGGAGTTGAGTGCTTTGGAGATGGAGTCTGGCTGAGCTTTTCCGGAGGCAGATCCTAAACGCGGACTAATAAGTAATATACTCCTTTCAAAAGGACAGTGAGCACTGTGGAGGAGATGAAAGCTGGGAGAAATAGCATCTTCATTTTATGCTTTCTCTGAAAATGCTTTTTTTCAGGGCTGCACAATAATATGTGGGAAAGCAGGAAAACTGTATTTTCCTTTTGTTTTGGTGTTCGGGGTATTATTCTTGGTTGTGTCTCCTCGTTCTGTTGAGGTTGTGTTTTATCACAGGGGTACTAATAGTGTTGTCTAAACAGAACTTTCATTTTTAGCTGTTCTGCATCACTGTAATGAAACAGTGATGTGTGCATGGGAAACCAGTATCACTGTATCAAATGAATTTAGTCTCGGGCCTCAGAGACCTTGTTAGTGCATCTTTAAATAAATAAACAGGCTGCTTTCCTCTGCTACTCTTGACCTCACTTTTTCTGACTCACACTTCATTCGCTTCATCGTTACGTAAATAGAAACTGCAATACTCTTGCTTTGTTTTTTGTTATAGAAAGTTTGGGTTGATAAGAAAGCCTCTAGTGCAGGTATTTTTCACTGAATGCTGCTCTACTTTGTTGTAAAAATAACATAAAATAAACAAAACCTTCCTTTTGAACTACACACATATGCATCAGTACCCTATGTGCTGTCTGTTTGGGTTGTCTGCTACTGCTTTGCAGTCTTTAATTGAAATATTTTTAGAAACATTGTCTTTCAGAGGAGGATTTCTGTGAAAACATTTCACAAGAGACTGTATTTTTCCATAATTAACAAGAAGCAAAAGGGAATCTGGCAGGCAAAGGAGAGTGCATGCATGTGTGCTTGAGCATGCATTGCTTGTGTTTCCTGTCCCGTGCTTATTACTGACCCATGGCCAGGCAGTTAGTGCCCCACAAATATTTAAAATGCCTTCATTTCTGGCGTCACTAATTGCAAAGGCATTGTTCCAGCTGTCCACACCCAAATATTTGAGTTTTTGTTCTTGCTCACAGGTGCACAGATACGCAGTGGATTTTCAGAAATGGCCAGCTGGTTAGTGATGGAACTAGAAATTTTTTTTTCTTTTTCTTTTTTTTTTTTTTTTTTTTTTTTTTTTTTTTTTTTTGTTAACTGAGATTAATTTTTCAGTGTATGTTTTGGTAACATTTTCGTTTCTGTTGCATTTTTAGGGAATAGAAAGGTGGAGTATGACAGCTATAATAGTAAATGCAGTGGTGGTTTAGAGATGTAAATACTAAAGCTTTATCCTTGAAAACCAATACTTAAATTCATATATTTTGCTGCTTTTGAATGCTATCCACTTGTCTGGGCAAGGGAGAGGCATTTTGAAATGTTACTGGGTACAGAATTGAGCAAGGGTTAGGAACAGTTCAGTCAACTGCATTTAAAGCTGCTCCTCCTAACCTGAAAATGCCAATTTTTGGGGAAGACAAGGTAGTTAAATCTGTACCTAGATTTATTTCTCCATGTCCAGGGGCAAAGAAAAAGCTTCCTTCTACTCCTGCTTGGAGAGCAGAGTCCCTTCAGGGCCTGGTCATGATTATTTACTGCTGCACTTCAGATGGAAACCTGCACAGAGCATTTAATCCCTGCCCAAGCACCATTGTACTCAGTGCATGTAGTTTAAATTTAAATGCCTCATCTGGGTTTTTCTTCCTTTTACATCCTGTTTTTAGTCTGTGAGTGAACATGCAGCCTTTTCTCAGTCACTTCACTTAAGTTGTGTATAAATACATGGGATTCTTGAGAACATCTTAAGTCAAGGACAGGTTGCCAAGTTGCTTTGCCATAGAGCAGAAATATTCCCTGTAGCATCATATATTTTGTTCTCTGCAGAATCCAGTGTTTAAGATACTTACGTTGGCTTGCTGGCATTTGCTACACCCTCTGCTTTGCTGTGAAGCTTAGTAGCAGCTTTCACGTGGCAGTCTTCCAGATGAATATTGATTACCTTGAATTACGTTAAATATTCTGCACTTTGGGTGATAGCAGGCATTGAGTTAAAAACAGAGCCACGGGGAAGAGCTTGTGTGTAGTAATTTCCTGTCCCCCAGCTTTCTGACAGGTTTTTAATTTGAGACCATTCAAATATGTTTAATTGTTGGCACTGAAACCTTACTTATTATAATCCAGTTTCCTGTTTGCAAGTATCACCAGTTCTCTGACAAAGTGAATTTGGGGAGGAAAGTAGAATAAAACTACAAGCATACTTGTATTTTTATATTCCCTGCACACACACACAACCCCCAAGCAAGTTATGCAAAGCTGTTAATCACCCCAGTGGTTATAACAACATTATCTTGCTTTTTAAACAGGTGTTGGGGAGATGGAGAAGACTTTGAACAGAATTCATCCAGTTTCTGATCCAGAAGCAACCTATTTTCTACAGGTGTCATGGGAAAAGGATTTAGGCACTGGCTTTGGTTTACTTCTTAGTGATTGTCAGTGTGCCTGGACTGGGACAGGTAATGGAAAGAAAAATGCATTAATTTAAATTATTACTGCTCTTAATTGCTCCTTTTAAAACACTTTCTAAGCTGTGCCCCACAGCTTGTGTGTAAATTCCATGGGCATTTTGTTCACAGTGATGGAGGAGATGGGGTTCATGATCTTCTGGGATGTGGCCAGAGAACTTTGAAATCTGGAGAGGTTGTGTGTCAAAGCTAAAACTAATTCATTCAGCACATGGATATGCAATGTTTTGTTCTTTCTCAAGAATGTATAATTTCTTGGAGTGATGCTGAAATAACACTTCTGTGTCTTCTCCAGATTCTCAAACAAATGTGTATGCAAGTTCCATTTGCAAATTGGAGCCCATAAAGCCTTTAATTGCAGATGTTTTTTTTAAATATTTTCATGGAATTTAAATAGCCAAAGGTAGCTGTATTTTGTAATGAAGGGAAGTTTTGGGAAGGAAAAGGGACAATAAATTATCAGTAGGAAAAACGTAGCCTGTGGGATTTTTTCGCCCCTCTGAAACCTCAGTAAGAGGATGGGTCTTTGCATATGTGCATGATTCTCTCATTCATGCCCAGTGGAAAAAGTCCTTGAGAAATGTCAAATACTTGATGAAAAGCCCTTCTCTCAGTAACAAAAATATTTCAAAGGGAGGACAGAATTATGTATTTTGAGCAAATTGTAGACAAAACCATTTTCTGGACTCCTTGTCTGAATTATAAGACATATCTTATGTAGTTCCTTTCCTCCTTCCTTCTCCTTACCCAGTGGGTGTTGTTCCTCCTCAGTTCCTACACAAGCCAAGCTCTCATATAGGTCTGAGATTAGATAAATGCAAATTAAAATCAGCACATAAATTAAATCTGCTCTTCCATATTCCTGTTAACATTTCAAACACTCCATTGATCAGGGCTTCCTGCACAAAGCACATACATGTATTCCAATACTGATTCCTGGAAATGAAAGATTTTTCTTTCTTGGCTTGACAGGAGTAAAGTCAAGTTATTTTGAAAACAAAAAAAAGGGTTTTAACACTGACAAATACTGTTTTTTCTGTTCGAAGGATCTTCTCCTTCTTAGGTGACTTCAAAATCCCCAGTTTAGAAATCACAAAAAGAGGATTCTTATTTTTGCAAGTGAAGGCTGTGCCACTATAGCTGGGAGTGTATAGAAAAAATAGGTGGGCACAGTTCTCATTTTGTTGAGTTCCTGCATCTGGTAGAATGGAGGATAATGATTCCCCAAAACAGAGGGGCAGTGAAAGCAGGATGACCTCAATCCATTAACAAGGAAAGAAAGAGACCCACAATATTTCTGCTGTCAGCATTGGGTGCTCATCCAAAGGAAAGTTTTTTTCCTGTTCTGGAAGAATCTGATCCCTTTCTAATAAATTATTACTGAATTTCTATTTCTATTCTTACTGAATTTCTGAATTCTTACTGAATTTCTTCTATTCAGTCCCTTGAATAATTTCATTGGGGGTTGATGTTTTTGTGCATAAGGCTTTCCTACTGTACTGATCTGTGCTTTCATTCAACAAAACATTTTGGTCACTTTCTAAAGTTATTACATCATTTTTGAGACTGCTTACATTTTAAATTCAAAACCTGGAGGGAGGGAAAGCAACGGTCAGAATATTCCTGCTGTGGGAAATCCCTTTTGGGTTTCCCATGCTGTGGATTATTTTCCTTGGCAAGACCTACCAGGGAGAGAGAGGGAGCTGCTGATGGAGTTGTCTTTTATGGGTTTTGTATGTTTAATGTGATGATGAAATGTGTTAGGAGTCCTGTTTAAGGAGAGAGTGAAAACACTGAATGTTGGAGGGGAGGAGAAGCACACAAATACACAATGTAATCTAGTGTGTTATTACCTTGGTATTGGGTTAAAGAAATACATCTGTGAGGATTTATGCATATCATATTTCCCTAATGATTGATCAGTTCTGCTGGTTTTAAATCACAAAGGAACATGCAGCATATATAGGGAAAATAGAACCAAAACCCAACAAACCCACAGTGCTCTGTTGCAGTATTTTAGTGTCTCTCTTTTTATCACTTTCTTACTGTTATTAGAAGTTTATCTGCTCAGTATTGAAATCACTGTTCCAGACAAGTGCTTCCTCTATAAACATTTCAGACTTTTCTTTTTCTACTCCTTTTTGTCTTTTTGCTGCAAGGGATTCCACATTTCACTCTGTTTTGGGTGATTTTAGGCAACTAGAATTGTGGATCAGTAGCAATAAGGAAATAATCAATTTGCAGATGGGGAAAAAAGGGGACAGAACTCCTGAAAACCCCAGTATTCCTGCTACATTTCCACAAGTGGAAATGACACACCAATGTGTGTTCAAGGGAAAAATAATCTCCTAATATTCCATGGAATCACAGAATTACAGAATGCCTTGGGTTGGAATGGAACTTAAAGGTCATCTACTCAGTGTGTGTCTGTATATACATTTTTTTTTCTTAATTATATATATATATAAATATATACTTTAAGATATATATGTCTTGCACTATGTATATATAAGGCAATTATATAAATGAAGTATTTTAATTATATAAATGCATATTAATAGATGCTTCGTATGAAATGTGTAATGCACATACTTGTTCCCACACATACGGATATTTATTCCTCACGTGTCTTCTTCTGGTAGTGTCTGAATCAGACATTTCTAGGGAGGCTGCTGACATAGAAATGGACAGAGAAAAATATGTGGAAGAGCTGAGGAAAGCACTGATAGCTGGAGAAGAGTCAGCTGGCAAATACAACTTTGTGATTTCAAGAGATGAGCAGAATAAGGCCTGTCACTTTTCCTATGAAAGGAACCTGAAAGATGGCTCTGTAAGTAGATAAATGTTTAAATGTAACTGTTAAACCATGAGAACGAAATACATTTTTGTATTTTATTATGGTCTTTAAAATCAGATGTGTGATACTCACTCCAGATTGAATGAGTGTTGTGAGCTCTTGCATGGGCCAAGCTCAAAAGAAAGTGAGTGGTTTGGGGTGGATGCTGCCCTTTTCAAATTATAGCCTCCTGTGCACTTTTGTTTTCCTTGTTTCTTTATCCTCTCTCCATACTACTCATCTAAATTAGAAAAAAAAAAATTTAGGCAAGATTATTTTCAAATGCTAAAACATAGCTTTAAAATTTAACTTTTCAACTACTTTAGATATTTTGGAAGTTAAGGCTGAAATTGTTGCATTACATTGGAAATGGGTAAGTGGTTCCATGCTGCTTGCTTGGCTGCAAAGGAAAGGACCCTCTTAAAACAGGAAAGAAACCAGTATTATCTGTACCTGTAGACACTTCTGGATATTTCAGGTTGTGCTTTGCTGTGTTAAAACTTTTCTGAAGAAGAAGAAGCTAACTCTTAAGCTGAATATCCCAGTTTGTACTTCTTTTTTTTTTTTTTTTCTTTTACATGTCCCTATTCTTGTTCAGTACAGGAATTTTCAGCTGATTTTGGGTCTTGAGGAGCCAAAAGTTAGGGCATGTAAGTCTACCAGTCTGCATTATAAGTATTTCTGTGACTTCACCCAAGGCCATACTGACTCTAAACCTTGTGAGCTGTTTGATTGTTCACAAAGATGTTGAAAGTTTAGGACCAAACTGTACTTAGAAATTGAGAGCAGTTAGGTTAAGAACCCTTTTTTTTTTGTTTCTGCTCTGTGTCACACATGTTCTAAATACAGGCCGGATTAAATACATTCTGTATTTTTATTAAGTGAAAACATCCTTGTGTTTGTGAGGTCACCTAATACATGTTTCCATCAATTAATGAGAAATTTAACGTGTATGAAAACAACTTTATGTCAATTTGGTAAAATAATAACCTGGCCAAAGAAATTGAAAATATAAAGAACCTCGATTCCTATATATGCTTTAAATTTGGGTGTTGAAAGAATGTTTTTAGATAAGATAGGATGTCTTGGGTGAAAATGCACCTTTCTTTTCTTTTCCCTTCCATTCTAATCTAATGCCTACAAATAAAATTTTCTAAGCAATTATGTGGAATTAAATAATAGAATTAGGTATTAGAAGTAGCTTTCAGGTGTGTAATAGAATATGTTCCAAACATTTTGCAAACTCATTGTGGAAGTATTTGTGATCTCTCTCTTTCAGCACCACATTAGGAAATTAATCTTCCTGGGCTCTGTACATCCAGAGGGCTGATATTCAGCTAAATGTAAATTTAGTGCAGAGGAAGCCTAGAGAAACTACTCTGCATCTTAAGCATGACTTAAACTCTGTGCTTATCTATTATCAGTTTAATAATTAACAGTTTTTAGTAAAAAAAGAGGAAAAACTTCTGAAATGCATTGTTACACTTTGCGCTATAAAATGCTTATTAATCCATATAAGTAAAAGTTACTGCAAAATCTTTTCATGAAATTGGTATACGGGTGCCTGAGAATAAACTTTGTAGTCTTCGAAAATCAGTAACATGCCTTGCCTTGTTTTTTAGAGATACATGCATGCTTATACACACAAATCTGATTATTTTAATTATTTTTAATGGGACCTGCCTAGAACATGAAGCTGATCACCAGCAGTCACCTGGGCCCAGTAACTTTCAGAGCTGAGCTCTGTCATAGTTCTCCGTCCCACGTGGGACTAATGACTGGCAAATCTCTGAGCTAGATCCTGATTTATTGTTTCCATGGCTGTACCAAACTGTGGTATTTGAAATAAGTTTTACCTTCTTTGTAGCATCTTGCTAAAGCTCTGCCTCCATAAAGTCTAATTATGTGCCAAAACTGTGTTGGGTGGTCTGTAGGAGTGCAAATAAAAATAGTGGGGTGATGTTAAGCAAAGGAAAACATAGGCATATTACTGGGAAATGCTTTCTGATAGGGAAATTTGTTTTACTGCCCAGGTGTTTTCTGAAGGAATTGGTGGCAGCCCCATTGTGCCCCTTGTTTTGAAAGGGACTGGAATGAAAAATACATTGCAATTATGTGTATTGCCAGTATAGTACATTTGATGACTTAACAAGGTGTTTGATTCACCTGTTGTTCAGTTTATGAGCCAATAGGTTCCTTCCATGAACTGTAAAAGGATATTACACCTACTCCTGCACCTTACACCTACTCCTGCACTGCTTTGATGGAATGAAACCAAACCTGTATCTTCATATAATTTTAAAAGTGTATATAATCATCAGTATATGACAATGATGTGTATATAAGGTTTATGTAAGGGGTGAGTGGGGATGGTTTGGGTTTTGAATGGATGCAAAACTTCCCCAAGTCATGAAGAATTCCTGTCTGATTTAGAGGGAGCACTGTGTAACATGTTTGTTTTGTAGTGCCCTGGCTGCCTGTAATTCTTAGAAGTAAGAGAATAAGAAAAATAATTTATCTTAAGGAATGTTCATAAGCGGTTTACTACTTATTTATCTTGAAATGTTGGTTGGGAGAGATCATGATGTCTGAGCTTTAGAAGCTCTGGTTCTGGCTGTGCCTCAGGAAGTGCAGCTGAGACTTAAGAAGTTGTGCCTTTAAAACTCCCCACTCCCTTGGTGAAAATCCCGATGGGTTCGGTGAAAATCCCGATGTGTTTTTGTGAGCATTCCGACGCATCGGGTGAAAATCCTGGCGTGTTTGTGATTTACCTCCCTCAGGACAGGTGGCTCTGCCTTTGGGACCCGTGTCTGGGGTGCCTGGGGTGTCGGGAAGGACCCTGGAATAACAATGTCTGTGGAGCACAGTGGGAATTGTGTGCGGATCCAGCTGCGGCCCCGGACGGGCCACACACACGGAGACCCTGGCGAGGGGCCGGGGAGGCTGGTCCAGCTCAACTGCTGCCACCTAAACAAACACCAGCCACAGAGGCAGTGATTTAGTGCTTGATCTAAGTAGGTGACCACTGGGAAGTAAATCTTTCCAAGTGCTTCAGCGAGTCACTCCACATGTAATAAATAATGGAAATCCGGCAAGCTCTTTCTTTTTTTTCTTTTCTTCGGGGCTGGCAATTAAATAGACTAAATAGCCTTTGATAAACAATTATTTGAGTGCTAGCAGTCTCTTTTTTTACAGTAATGTGACAGGCTCTGCGTTTTTTTTTTTTCCCTTGCCTTTTGCTTAAGTTTGTAAACGGGGAGGGTAAGAGCTTAACAAATTCCACCTTAGATGCAGCACTGTTGCTAATGAGGATGATGGAAGAGATGCTGTTATTTGTCTCCCCCATTTCCTGTGGCTGCTTTTCCCTGGTCGGGCCTGAGTTCATTATAAGTTTACTAAAAGTTGAAAAAAAAGGCTGGAGAAGCTTGTGCTAACCAAAACTTTTCACAGCATGCTAACTGAGAGAAATGCAGTTGGTAGAGCTCTTTGTGCTGTCCAAACGATCTTGGTTCAAGGTCTGAGTAGTTACTCTGCTCCAAACCACTGAGGATGTGTTGTTTGGTTAGCAAAGGTCACTGAGAGTTCAGGTTGTTTCCCAGGCAATTCCACCAGCTGAGGAGAGAGGAAGATGAAATGATTAATCCCTGGGTCAGTGTGAAAGTAATGACTCTCATATCACTTATATCACTTAATGTCTGTGTACTTCAGGGCCTGAGAGTGGACACTTGAATGGATTTCTTGGAAGCCCATTTTAGAAATAGCTGGCTTCTAATGTGCCTTATGTAATGGAAACATTAAGTGTTATCTTGTAAGTAATCTCAGAATTCTGAGTGCTACATGATTTTCCCCATCTCACCTCGGGTGTTCCTTCAGGTATTTCAGGTACACTGGAAATGCAGTGCATCATTTCTGTAGCCTTGAGGTAAGAAAAACAATTTCTGAAAGTGATTCCCTACCATATTAGTAGGTGTACAATTACCTACAAGATGTATCTCTACAAGGCATGACAGAAGTCCTGGTGAATTAATTAAGCTCTGCTATTTTCCTTGCTTAGCTATTAGATTATGTATTTGATTGCTGCTTCTGATAAGCAGTAGTTTGGAGAAATTAATTTAAAATACTGGCAATTTATCCCTTTAAAACCAGTATGGTTGAAAAAGGAAGAATCAAACACTGTGATGTATAAATTCTCTTCATTTTTTCTCAACCTGTTAGGATCTGTGTATTTCACTAGAACTATCCAATTGGACAAAAATTGTCATTTAGGTCCTTTAAGGTGCACTATAAATTACACTATAAAGGGCATCTTTGTATTTCTTGAGTAGAATGAGAGCCTAAACATATATCAACTATACTTAATGTGTTCATAAAATAACAGATTTGGATTTGTACAAGAAAAATTGTCAGTTATTCTTTCTCCCTCTTGGTGTTATTGTGTCGTCTCCCCTCCCTTCCTCTCCTCACGATTTTTTCAGATTTTCCCTTTTTGGAATACCTGCTGAGCATTTCAAATCCCTGTGTGGCCATCAAGGCTTGCTTTCATTTGCAAATGCTTTCCTTTTAGGAGGAAGAAATCTTTAAATCATGGCATATTGGCAAGCTATAGTTTCCCAAACACAAATTACAGAGGACAGTAGGTGCTCTGGAAAAGAGATTACTGTGTGTGGGCTCTAAACCTCCACTGCAAGACCCCAGTCCTGTATTTGCTGTGAGGATGAGCAGCAGCCAGGGCCTGGAAACCAGCTAGAATCTCACCAGTGGTTTCTCCTCAGAAACTCTCTCACCTCTCACAGCTCCAGAGGAAGCATTCATCTTTCTACCTGCAAAGGCACAGGAGAGCTCTCAACCTCATGTTAACTCTTAGGTTCACTAAAATAGCACCTTTTCCAGTATAAAATATTGAATGGATATGTTTAAACCCTCTCAGAGCAACTTCAAGTAGTAACCTCTATTACTGCTGCTGCAGTTACAGAAAATGTCTTGATATGTAAGAA